CCCCCCCCCCCCCCCCCCCCGCGGGTGGGGCTACAGGGTCTCCACCACCAACCAGAAAAACTAGAGAATCTCCTCAAAATCTGATACCTGTGCCTCATTCTCCGGAAATTCTGTTTCTTTGTTATGGGGTAGGGCCCCAACATTAGTACCAAAGAAACAGAATTTCCGGAGGATGAGGCCCAGAAATCAGGATTTTAAAAAGATTCCCAGGTGATTCTAATGTGCAGCCAAGGTTGAGAACCACTGGGTTAGGGTCTCAAGCCCTCTCCGGGGGGCGGAAATGGAGGGAAACCTGAAATAAGGAGCCAAGACTCAAGGTGGAGAAACAAGCGAGGGCGTGGGGGGAGGCTGGGAGCTGAGCCAGTCCGGAGAGACCAGACCTGGGGAAGGCCAGCCTTCCATCCGAGACCCAAGCTGCAAGCTCACCTCCCCCAAACCCGTGGCTTCGGAGCCAGGCGCTATGTTCTCAGGAGCGTTGGCTTATGTGAGACATCGTGTGGCTATGGTTCCCTCCCACTCAGCCTCAGTTTCTCCAGTCTCGGGTCTGCCCATACAGTTTGCCAGAAGGTGCTGAAGGGACTGGAGAAGTTGGGAAAGGACTCGGGCTGGGAGTGGTGATGAAGTTCCGGAGCAGCAGGGGCTCAGGGGCCAGACCCGTTTCCAGCTCAGCATAATGCGCCCCCTTCCCACACCCCTCCCTTTCCATCAGATCAGCCCCTCCCCACCTTCAGCTCTGAGCAATCAAATATTTTCCAACCTCCTGCCCTGCTCTTCCTGTCACCAAGCCCCCCATCCGGGCCTCCTGGGACAGCTCCAGGCAGAGCCACCTGCTCTTGTGTGGAGGCTGAGCAGGGATGTGCTCACAGCTCCATCCAGGATCAGGGCCACACACAGGCAGCCTCTGGAAGTGAGCCCTGGGCCCCCGACTTCCTGCATTCCATCCTCGGGCAGTGCCTGAGCCGTAAGCACCTGCGAGCGAGCGTTTAACTGACCCAGGGGAGGCCCATTAGGGAGCCCGGAGGCCAGGGAGCACCAACCCTCCTGCAGGGAGCTTTCAACCTCGGGTCTGGAGCTGCCTCAGAGCCACACACAGGTGCCCACAGGCAGGGCGAGGCTCCAGGCAGCAGAGCTACACACACAGGTGCTCACAGGCAGGGCGAGGCCCCAGGCAGCAGAGCCACACACAGGGTGCCCACAGGCAGCAGAGCTACACTACACAGGTGCTCATCGGGCAGGGCGAGGCC